CGATAAGTATCCTGGATACGCGCCCCAACAGCCCCTATATACAATATCCCGACACGATAAGTATCCTGGATACGCGCCCCAACAGCCCCTATATACAATATCCCGACACGATATGTATCCTGGATACGCGCCCCAACAGCCCCTATATACAATATCTCGACATGATATGTATCCTGGATTGATTGGTTGATTAATAATCGTAAATATTTACTTACTTCTATAAATTTTGTCGGATAATTATGTATTTATTTACTTCTGTTACAGTCAACTTATGATTGTAAATATTTACTTGCTTCTGTAGAGTTTAACTAATAATTGTAAGTATTTATTTACTTCTTATAAGAGTAACATGTAATCAGAGCTGGGCAGCGCTACTTTGAAATGTAGCGGCTGCTAAAGCTACGGCTACATGCTCTAAATGTAGCGGGCGCTACCGCTACCGCTATATGCTCTAAATGTAGCGGGCGTGCCGTACCTCTGCTTGTAATTGTAAATTTTCACTTGCTCCTGTAGAGTTCAACTAATAATTGTGGGAATTTATTTACTTCTGTTAAGTAATACGACGTCCTCAGGCCGACGGCTGGAGGCCCTCTGGCGCTCGCGTGGGAGTCGCTGCTGCAGGAGGTGGAGCTGGACTCTCAGCTGCACGTGGACGTGGCGGCTACACTGACCAGGTGCGTCAGCTGCACGTGGACGTGGCGGCTACACTGACCAGGTGCGTCAGCTGCACGTGGACGTGGCGGCTACACTGACCAGGTGCGTCAGCTGCACGTGGACGTGGCGGCTACACTGACCAGGTGCGTCAGCTGCACGTGGACGTGGCGGCTACACTGACCAGGTGCGTCAGCTGCACGTGGACGTGGCGGCTACACTGACCAGGTGCATCAGCTGCACGTGGACGTTGTGGCAACGTTCACTACCGCAATAACGAATGATGAATTATTCAATATTAGCATTTTAATGCCGGATTACCCAATCCCCAATGCGGGAATTTCAGTGCAAGTTCTGTTTTCTCATCCCGAAAATCCCAAGAATTAACAGATATTATCGCGCCGAAGCTCTCAGATAAATAGGGCTGCCGTCCGGAGATACGCTAGCACAAACCATACCCTCTAATTCTCTCATAATTTTTAACTTTTCGCTTATTCTATAGGATGAAATACGAAAAACTTGCTGTAAGTTCCCTATCGCTCGCAAAAAAAGTTTTAGCAGATTCCTAATTTCAGTTAAGATTCAGGACTGAAGAGTCATGGTCATTATAACTTAGAATACGTATTATTTGGCTGTAACATTTGTGCATGGCTGCAGTTAGATCGAGTTTAATAAATATTATAATAAAATAAAATAATATTAATGTTGATATTAATATTATTAATAATAATATTATTTGAAGTCATTACGGCTTTAATTATGTAAGAACTTGGTCCGGCTGCTGATGAACACCATCTGCATGAAAATCGAAGCATGAAAATCGAAGTCTTTCAATAATATTAAATAGTATTAATAACAATTTCATATTTCTATCAATAATATTATTTGAAGTCATTGTCATTAAGGCTTTAATTACGTAGGGACGTGGCCCGGCCGCTGATGAACACCATCTGCATGAAAATCGAAGCATGAAAATCGGAGTGTTATAATAATATTAAATAATATTAATAATAATTTCATATATCTATCAATAATATTATTTGAATTTAAAGTCATTAAGGCTCTAATTACGTAGGGACGTGGCCCGGCCGCTGGTGGAGAACACGTTCTGCAGGAAGATAGAGGCCCGCAAGCTGTTCGCTCACAGGGAGAGCTTTGAGACCATCGTCAGCAAGGCGGAGGAACAGCTTAAGAAGGTCAGCCTCCTGACACTTGATACTTAAGTGATACATAGGGCCTCCTGACACTTGATACATCATAAATGATACATAGGGCCACCTGACACTTGAGACATCATAAATGATACATAGAGCCTCCTGACACTTGATACAGCATAAGTGATACATATATGGCCTCCTGACACTTGATACATAAGTGTTACTAGGGGAGGGACTAGTGATACTTGATACATCATAAGTGATACATAGGGCCTCATGACACTTGATACATAAGTGTTACTGGGGGAGGGACTAGTGATACTTGACACATCATGAGTATTACGGGGATACATACAACACTGTCACTGTCAGCACTACAGTGTACACGCTTTGCTGTGTACAGAGCAAGCGGGAGTACACTGAGGCACACAGACAACACTGTCAGCACTACAGTGTACATGCTTGCTGTGTACAGAGTAAGCGGGAGTACACTGAGGCGTACAGACAACACTGTCAGCACTACAGTGTACATGCTTTGCTGTGTACAGAGTAAGCGGGAGTACACTGAGGCGTACAGACAACACTGTCAGCACTACAGTGTACATGCTTTGCTGTGTACAGAGTAAGCGGGAGTACACTGAGGCGTACAGACAACACTGTCAGCACTACAGTATACATGCTTTGCTGTGTACAGAGTAAGCGGGAGTACACTGAGGCGTACAGACAACACTGTCAGCACTACAGTGTACATGCTTTGCTGTGTAC